CGGGCCGGGCAGGACAGGACGCCGCGGTGTGTCTCGTGAAGTTTACTCGGCCCGGGGCCTAACCCGGGCTAACGGCACCGGCCTCGTGCCGCGGCTCTGGCGGAGAGCGTGCCAGCGCGGGTGCGGGCTCCCTCCTGCCCGGCTGCGGGGCACACGCATCCCGGCCCCCCGCCCCGGCGGGGCGGGGAGGCAGCCCTGGCTCCTGTCTGCTTTGGAGCTGTTCAGAAGTGGCCAGATGTTGGCAGCACCCCTTCCCGACGTGGGGTTCAACCCTCTTCACTCCCAGGCCCTTTCTGTTGGGAACCTGGCCTTAAAACCTTTGAATACAAAGTCTGTGGAGCTATATGGCATGTGATTAGGTCACTGGAAATCCTCTGGCAAGGAAATATCAATGGTCAGAAAGGAGGGCTGTTTTTGTAATCGAGGCGCTTCGCACACCGGCCAAAGGAACGCATCGCGAGCGTGCTTAGACTGACGCGCGCCATTCATATTCATATCAATCGGTCGTGAATTCTGCCCAGGTGCAAGGTAAGCAGAAATAGGTAGTTATGCCATCCGTGGGATCGCTCGCTGCCTGCAGGTAACCTTTTCCTCACTGAGGAAGACTGCCTCCCACCTAGTTTGTGTTTGGTTGAATCATTAGGATGTGTTTTAGTGATTGTATTAGGCTAAAAGACATACAGGGTTTGTGACTTGCAAGCTAGTTGCGTAAATACACCTTGGAGACGGGAAGAGTGAGAATTACAAGGTTTTAACGGGTTGACAAAAGCATTGTGTGAATGAATAAGCAACGGCATCGGCAGCATTCGTATACTACAGTGAAAACCTCGCTACACGTGCTGTTGAGACGACTGTTCTACGTGGTGATAAAGGTGTCGGTTTTTTCTGTATACATTTTATATTGGGAAATTGCTTAAGCGCGTGCTTAACTTCAGCTGAACTAATCACGTGCTTAAACACCCTGGCTGGGTGGGGAGATAGGCTGGACCAGCTAGGGAGCGGGTTGTGCTCCCTGCTCCCGACCCGCTCTGCGTCGCTCCTAGCCCGTGACTGCTAGTGCCCCGGCTCGTCCTGCTCTTCCCCAGCCAGCTCCGTACCTGCGCCGCCTGTTGCTGCGCCTTGTCCCGGAGGCTGGGAGACCTTTCAGGCGGGTCCGTCGCGTCGCGTGGTTGTGCGCTGCCTTGCACGCGGGAGCCTGGCCTCCTCGCTCTGTAGGTACCACTGCCACATGCATGCTGGTGACGGCACGTCTGAAAGACCTAGATGGTGCTGTTTCAGACACAGATGCTCAAGGTTTCTTGCATGGAAAAAGGCAGCCATAGCAATCGGCTGATTTGGTTTTAAAGACCTGTAGCTGCAGTAGTTTCTTTTATTGCCTTCCTGCAGTAGAGGCCCTGGGCCCCGACTGTCCGTGGCATTC